ATACCCCATCACCCCAAAGCTCAAAGACCATTGAGGAAGAAGGGGAGAAAAAATTGCAAGAGCCAGAGGTTGGGAGGGCCAGAGTGAAATAGTGTTTTCTGGACATGACAGGACCACTGCACCCATGAACTCAGAGTAGCTGTGGTTGCCTGCACAAGACCTGCATAAGATCAAGCCTGTCAACATTCCATCATGGAGAGGGGAGGTACTCACAGGCCCTGCCTCTAACTGAGGGACTATTGACAGTTGATGGTTTTAAGGGGAAGATTCATTTTCCTTTAAGGGAGTGGCCCCTGATAGACTCACCATGCTCCACATCTGTGAGTATATGGGCAGCACAATTTGGAGAATTAGATTTTTTAAAAAAAAAGAAGAAGAAGAAGAAGAAGGAGGAGGAGGGGGAGGGGGAAGGGGAGGGGGAGGAGGAAGAACCTGGAGAGATGGCTTAGGGGTTAATAGCACTGCCTGCTCTTGCAGAGCACCCAGGTTCAGTTCCCAACTAACAACCTCTATTACTCTAGTTCCAGGGGATCCAACACCCTCTTCTGGCCTCCTAGAGAATTGTAGGACATGGGTGGTCTTACATACATGCAGGGAAAACATTCATATCCATAAAATGAAAATAAATAAATAAATATAATTTAAAACAAAGCAAAACAAACCAGGGACTTCTCAATAGCAGGGGAAAATCTGAATTCCTCTTCTTTCTCTTTTGCTTGGGATTCTTTGGGTGGGATGGCCGTTTTTATTTTGATGGAGTGATACTTCCTAGTGAGAAAGAGTTTACAGAAGAATTTGCTACAGATTTGGTGGTGCAGGCCTGTAATCCCAGCACTCAAAAGGTGGAAGTAAGAGGATCAGGAATTCAAAGTCATCCTCAGCCCCATAGTGATTTGGGGGCCAGCCTATGCTATCTGAGACCCTGTCCAAAAACCAATGAACAAAAGCGCTTTATTTTTTATTAACACATTATCAGTTATATGGTTAATGAATTTCATTATGAAAATTTTTTGTGTATTTACAAGGCCGTCCTTCCTTCTAGCCTCTCTTGATCTCACCTTCCTCTGCCATCTTTCTTTGTCTTTTTTAAAAAATATTTTACTTGACTACTTTTTTTTTTATGTGTGTGAGTGTTATGCCTGCATGTCAATAGGTGCACACATGTTTTGCAATGCCCACAGAGGTCAGAAGAGGGCATAAGATCCCTTGGAACTGGAGTTATAGATAGTTATTAGCTGCCATATGGGTGCTGGGAATCAAACCCAAGTCCTCTGCAAGAGCAACCACCATTTTTAACCGCTGAGCCATCTCTCTAGTCCCCATCCCTCTTTTTCTACCTTTAAGTTATGTTTAGCTTCTGTATATAAGAGAAAACATGCAATCTTTTTCTTTCTGAGTGTGGCTTATTTTGCTCAATATGATCTCCAGTTCCATCTATTGTCCTACAAATGTTAAGATTTTGGTTTCCTTTATGGCTGAATCATACTCCATTGTATATGCATACCACATTTTTTCTACTCATTCCTTTGCTATCTCCCTGTTACTTTGTTATAATCATATGTTAGGTGTAGCAATGTTTTGTAAATGGCTTAGGAAGTTTTTTTATCTTTATGTGTGTATGGGAGGAGGGGCACACATATAACTGCAGAGGTCAGATAATAATCTTGGGTGTCAGTCCTCAACCTGCACCTTGTTTGAGATAGAGTATCTTTGCTGTTCTCTGGTGTACAGTAGACTGACTGGCTTACAGTCTTCCAGGGATTCTTTTTTGTACCTCCCATGTTCCTGCATGAGCCCTGGGATTATAGAATGGTACTACTATGTCTTACTCCAAGCTGGGGATCCAGACAAGTTTTCAAGCTTGCATCCCAAGCCTTCTACCCAGTCAACTATCTCCCAGCCAGAAGAACTTGTAGAGAATTGGATTATCTGTGAAGAGACATTTCTGCCTCTGTCATTTTGGTAGTCACATCTTAACCTTTAAATCTTATTGAATTAGGTAGAGGCTTTGTGCATATCTGCACTTTAAGATTTATTTTAATCTTATTTTTTATTTATATGTATTTGTGTCTGTGTGCTTATACCACATGTGTATGGGTGCCTCGGGAGGTCAGAAGAAGACATTGGATCTGCTGCAGCTGGAGTTATAGGCAGTTGTTAGCTGCCCTATGTAGGTCTGGGAATTGAACTCAGGTCCTTTGAAAGAGCAGAAATATCTGTAAACTGCCAAGCATCTCGCTAGTCCCATATTTTCACTTTGTATAAGTGTAATTGGTGCCCTTACTACTTCACTTCATGAAATTTATGATATTCCACAAACTGTTGGATGAGGTGAAGGCTGTTCCTTCCCAGCGCTATAAAGGATTCCATTACATTGCAGCAAGTTTCCTTACTTGCTATTTTGTTCAGGCTGATGCTTATTTTCCATTCAAGGTTATTCCAAATAAGGCTTCTATGAATGTTCTAGTCTGTGTTCTTTGGTGAACACATATGCACATTTCTGCTGGGTCCATACTGCCAAGGGGAAGATGCTGAATCACAGAGTATAGGGTGGATGCTCTAGCTTTCATTGACATCATGGATTTTGAATCCGTATTAGTTCCTTTTCTTGTTACCCTGGCCAAATATCTGACAAGAAGAAAAGCAAGGGAGGAGGGGGATAATCTACTTTACAGTTCTAGGAGATACATTCTGTCATGGGACAGAAAACATGGCAGCAAGTAGTGAAGACAGGGTGGCAGCAGCAGCAGGCAGCTGGTCACATTGCAACCACAGGAACAGAGAAAACAGGAAGTAAGGCTGGCCATAAAACTTGAAGGCCCACCCCCAGTGACCTACTTCCTCCAGCAAAGCTCCACCTTCTAAAGGTTCCACAGTCTTCCCAAACAGCTGGGGACCAGGTGTTAAACACATTAAACCATTGAGGGGGAGCATTTCACATTCAAAGCCTAGAACCATCATTGCTGCATTTCTAATGGTTTCTGGGGAGAGAGGAGATAAATGCATATATTCAGTTTCTATATTTAAATACGTATCAGTTCTTGTCACCTCCGCTACGTCTTTCGTCACTGCATTTGTGCTCTTATCTGTTCATCAGGACTAAATCTGAACACACATGGTTTCTCCACCTTGTTTACTCAAAAGGGACATACCTTCCCTCCATGGTCGTGTGGCTCCTCTGTGTACATTGCTGTTCCTTCTCACAGGGGCAGTCTTCACAGTTCTGCCCTAGGGTCCCCACATGTGTGTCCCTTTGGATATTTACTCAGAAAGGACTGTTCCTTCCAGAAGACTGCTCAGACTTAAGCAAAACAAAGCACAAGGGTTATGCATATGTGTGCCCATGTGTGTAGAGGTCAGAGGCTAGCCTTTGGTGTCATTCCCTAGGCACTTGCATTTTGAGACAGCATCTCTCACTGGCCTATAACTCACTAAGTAGTCTAGAATGGCCAAGGAGCCCTGAGGGACCTATCTGTCTCTGCTCCCCAAGTATTGAGATTAAAAACACACGCCACCACACCTGGCTTTTTACATAGATTCTGGGATCCAGCACTGGTGTTTTCATGTTTATAACCAATCACTTTACTGACTAAGCAATCACCTCAGTCTTGATGACTTGGGATGTTTGGGGGTTTTGTTTTATTTTCATTATTATTATTTTTTTGAGATAGGGTCTTCCTGTAGCTCTAGCAATTTCAGTTGCCTAGGAATGGAGCTGCTTCCTCTGTGTTTGCACAGCTGATCCTGTGGATGAGGGAACACCAGGGATAAAATGCCACTAAATACTTTCTCATCTTGTTAGGAAGAGAAGGATTTTGGTGAAAATCCTTGTTAAATCTAAGATTTGGGGGTGACTGGAAGTCACTACTTACTTTTGAGTCATCTGTTTTAAAAAACTGAAAATCTGTTCAAAGTGCATGTATCACTTCATAAGAACATTCTTAACATGACAATGAATACAGTAAGTGAAATCAGTTATAAGGAATATAAATCAAATTTCATTATTAAGTACAAAATATTAAAGTTAATTTGATTTTTACAAAAATGCATTTTGTGTATGTGTGTTTGCATATGCCTGTGTGTGTATGTGTGTGTGTGTATTCTTGTGTGTGTGTGTGTGTGTGTGTTCTTGTGTGCATGCATGAGCACCCACATGCCATGGCATTACATGTGGAGGTCATAGGACAACTTGCCCTCTCCTTTCACCATATGAGCCTTAGAGAACGAATCTCCTCAGTCTGAATGACTTGGGGTGTTGCAGTTCCACAGGCTTGTGCAACAAACAGCTTCATCTGCCCGGCCATGTTGCTGAACTGCAAATTTTATTTTCAAGACTACATTTTTCTTCCTAGGACTTGGAAAATGGTATGAAGACTTTTATTTAGGCTTTGAAATAAGGAAACAAACACTCCATCCTATCACATCCCAGCTCAACATTTAGTATTTGCTTAGCCTCTCTGACCCTTAGTTTTCTCATCTATACAATGGGTAACTGGCAGTCTCAGAGGAGAATAAGCAAAATGCCTAATGTAGTTAATTTTATACAACAAACCTGTAAATGATTTTCTGTTATTTTAATAGTGGTATAGAGTTATATTTTGTTTACTCTTTAAAATTCAGCATTATAGAGCAAAAAGATGAATAATTAAAATATCTAATCAAAATCAATACAGAAGTACCTCTGAGGTAGTTCAGCCCAAGAAACTTAAGCTATGAACGATATGTGTCACTGAGCTTAGTGACTGGAGCATAGCTTAATGTGCATTCAATATTCATTTGGCTAATACAGACTCCACAACAAAAGAAACAGTGTCATGACAGTGGATGGAGATGATGCCCTGGTGAGTGATCATTTTAATTATTAGTATTAAATATGGTGGAGAGAAAGTGGGAAGTTAAGGAAGGAGTTTCTCTGAAGACCTCCAAAGAATATTACCCAGTCACGTGGTAGAATCTCAATTCCTGGAATGCTCATCCAATCATGTGTTCTCTCTCTGCAGGGAGAAGTTGGCTGTGGCCCGGCTGCAGAGGGAAGTTGCCCAAAGAACAAGTGAAGGGGCTATGGTGAGTCTTGGATGGTCCCCTTTCATTCCGAGCCTCCTGTCACAAGGGCTCTGGCTTCAAAATCCTTCTGTCCTGGCAAATGATATATCTAAACAAAATATTGGCTTATAGCTAACTTAATGATATGTTTTTGGTAAATGATACACTTATGCACAGTTTAGATAGCTTTGCCATGGAAGATGGTAGAAGCAGAGACAGAGAGACACACAGACAGACTGAGAGACCCTGAGACTGAGTTTTGAAATACTGCTCAAATATTCAAAGGGTTAGAAGGCTAGATTTCAAGACTCTCTGCTGGATGGCCAAGCTTCCATCTGTAAGTGCCAATTCTGTAAATGAACAACCTTAGAGTTTTAGGTAAGAACAGTATAATTTAATTCAAACTTCTCTGTTCTTAGAAGGTAAATAAATAAAGGAAGGAAGGCCCTGGTATTTGCTAATGTAATTGCTGTTTATTCTCTTCTTCTGTAGTATTTGTGGTGCATTCTTGCTGCCCTTTCCAGCCCCTGTCATTTAGAAAACGGATGCTTCCTTGCATTTCTGAATTGTACAGAAAAATCAATATGGTTGTTTTGGTCCATCAAAACTGCATTTTATAGACTACAGTCTTTACTGAAGTAGCCACCAGAGTGCTACTGCAACATCTGAGGTGACCGCTGGGTACCCAGGGAGTCTGTGTGTGTGTGTGAATTAACTGCTACCTCTGAGAGGAAAATATCACATAAGCCTTATTTTGCTCCTTTTCTGACAAGATGGTAGCAGGTGTGTGAATTTCAGCAGGAGAATCCATTCTTTATGAAAAGGAATGATGGGTTTGAGGCACTGAAGGCTGCTTCCAGTTCATTTCAGGAGAGCTAAGTGACAGTCCACCCTCTGAAAAGAGGAAGAAGTTTGTGAAGTCTCTGGCCCTGTGCTTCTCCCAGTATAGAACACAGAGGGCTGGAATGACAGACTGGATGTTGAACAGTTCATGTCACGGAGGGAACAGAAGCTGGTATACTTTGGGAAGGAGATCACTATGTTTTTCTAAAAATCAAAATATATAGAGAATCTTGAAAAGGTTCAAACTTTTCAGTTTGAGGCAACCACCCATAAGCACCTTTAAGCAATGGAATGGAAACAGGTTGGAAAATAATAAAGATCTGAGTGGTGAGCTGAACCTTTCTGATCTGGACTGCTCACTGTATTTTAGACAGCCTGGGTCACTCTGTGTATATGTGTGGGATTGTGTGCTATGTCTGTAGCATACAGCTACACTTGTATGCACTCACACGCAGATGGGAACAAACTTGGAATCCTTCTTCAGGCACCATATACCATTTTTGTAACAGGGTCTCACCGACTTAGAACTCATCAAATAGGACAGCGTCCCTGGCCAGAGATCTCAAGGGATCCACTTGTTTCTGCCTCCCAAGCACTGGGATTCCAAGTGCATGCCACTGTGCCTGGCTTTTGAGTTGGGTTCTCTGGATAGAATTCAGGTCCTCATGTTTGTACTTATTATGAGTTTATAGTAAAATAAAAAACAAGGTACTGTAGACCTGTGACTTTGTTATTTCCAAAATATTTCCACCATTTTGAGTTTCTTGATTTCCCCTGCCAGTAGTGGAGATAGCTTGTCAATTTCCAGAAAATGCACTCTGTGGATTTTTAATAATAGCATTGAGTCTTTTGATCAGTGGGAGCAGGAATGGCATGTTAAGTATTCAAGCTTTTGATATTTTGGACATGAGATCATGAAGTTTTCAGTCTTTTAAAAAATTTTATTCATTGTTTTTATTTTATGTGTATGAGTGTATTGCCTGCATGTATGTGAGTGCACCTGGGTCGTGCAGTGCCACAGAGGTCAGAGAGGGCTTCAGATTCCCCTGGAACTGGAGTTAAGGATGGTTCGTAGCCACCATGTGGGTGCTGGGAATTGGTCCAGTGTCCTCTGCAAGAGATGTTTTAATCCAAAAGAGAATGTTGAATTTATTATTAAGGCTCCCATTTAGACCTGCTAGTTCTGGGCCTCAAGCTCTGACCATGTGGATCATGGTCCTCTTGTGAGCTCACCTCCCATGGTATTCATGGTCCTGTCAACTTGCATGTATGTGTAGGTACAGGCCAGTGTGCAACCTTGACTGAGGTCTTTGTAGCTCTGCCTTCACAGCCTCTGAATGCTGTTGGAACTGACCTCTGGGCTGAGCATAGAGGATCATTACACCACCATGGGGCAGCTTCTCAGCTCTTCCTTCTCTGGGTGGTCTCTGACATTTTAACCTCTCTGGAAGGCTCCCTCCTTTATTAATGCTCCATTCATAAACCCAGAGCTTTAGTTTCCTTCTAGGCCACTGTTCTCTTGTGAACACATCATGTCTGAAGTCAGACCACAGAGAGAGGCAGGAGCTGCAGGAATTTGACTCTCACTGCTTTGGAAGGAAAGAAGGATCCTGCCAAAAAACATTGTTTTTAGTTAGCTAAAGATTCATTTAATTTGAATTACAAGGGTATATTTGCTGCCCCAGCTCTTTGTTGCTTGATGGTGTGTAAACTGAGCTATACAATCCTAAGTGAGTGATCAAGTTCAAGTCCAGGGTAACTGTTTTCAAACCCATTTAAGCCAGAGTTAGTGCTTTCATTTGTTTGGGGGCAGAGACAGAGCTTATAACAATTGTCATTTTTTGCCTGAGTATATACTAGGAACACCGTATATGTGTGTATGTCTACACAGATAAATACACATACATATTCAATTTATAAGTAGGAAATCCTCAGTTTGCTTTAATTGTCCACTGAAATATATTGACATGTTAAAGAAATCATCTTTTTAAGCATAATTTGGAATTTTATGAAAAATGTCCCTTTTTCACCAAAGGCTAGAATATATCCAAATAACCCGGAAACCTCAAGAACCTGGCTCCCTCCTGTCCATTTGCTTCCCTTGAATCGTACATCCATGTTTATTGCAGCACCGTTCACAAAAGCCAAGTTATGCAACCCAACTAGGTACTCAGCTGCAGAGGAATGAATTAAGAAAGATGTGATAAAGACAGATGTAGCAATTTTTGGCTATAAAGAATGAAGTTATGTTTTTTCAGGAAAATGGATAAAACTAGAGACAATCACATTAAATGAATCAAACCAAGCTCAAAAAGACAAATAACACATACTTTCTGTCTCCGGTACATTTCTTTCCTCCAAAGTCTACTTCATCTGATGCTAATGTATGCATGCTAACTTCCACTGAATCAAGATTTTTCATGGTAAACTTTTTCTACACACTTATTTTAACCTTCCTGGAGTGTTATATTTATAGTTAGTTTTCCATGGACATCCTATAGCTGGATAATGTTTTTTTTTAATCTACTCTACAAATCTATGGGAATTTTGTTTTGTTTTTATGATTTGTTTATATGTTGTGTGTGTGTCTGTGTGTCTCTGTGTGAGTACTTGTATATAAGAGAAGTGACTTTGAGGTCAGAGGTATCAGATACCTTGGAGCACAGGCAGTTGTGAGTCACTTGAAGTGGGTGCTAGGAACTGAACTTGGGTCCTCTGTGAGAGCAGTATGCACTCTTAACCACTGAGCCACTTCTCCAGGTCCCAAATCTGTGTTTTTAAATTGGTGCGTAGTGTCCATTTGCTCTCTGTGAAGTCACTCAAGCATCATGGCTTATGCCTGCCATCTTCTTTGTTGTTTTCTCTTTGTTTTCCATGTTTTTCAGTTCATGGGTCACACAATTTAGAAAACACGTATAGAGGAAACTTATTTATCTATTCAAGCTCTTTCTTACTTCCTGATGTTCCAAGATTCTTTCTTTGGAGTGGGCATGTATATGTGAGCACAAGCATGAAGTTGTTTGGTTTAATTTCTTATTCCCTCTTTCCTTCTATCTTTCATAGGGTCTTGTAGCCCACAGTGGTCTAGAATTGCCATGTAGGCATGCTGGCCTTGAATCTGGCATGTTTCTACATCCACTTCCTAAGTGCTGGGGTGATAGATGTGTCCTACTAGTTTTAGATATGCTTTTATTTTTGTGCTCTTAACAGCTGAGCCATCTCTCCAGCCCCCTACTTTTTAGTTAATTACGTTGTACTAGTATATGCCTCTTTTTGTGTTTGTGTGCACATGTATATATAGATGTGTATGCATGTGTGTATGTGTGTATGTCTGTGTGTAGGCCTCAGGTTGACATACAGTATCTTCTTCAATAATTCTTTACCATATTTTTTGTGACAGGGTCTTTCACTGAGTCTAGCACTCACTAATTTACTAAGTCAGCTAGCTAGTGAGATCTCACGATCCTCCTATCTCCATCTCCCAAGCGAGGAGATTATAGGCTCGTGCCACTGTGGCTTTTTAACCTGGGTGCTGGGAATCTAAACTTGGTCCTCATGTTTTCTCTGCAGGCACTTTACTGACAGAGCCATCTCCCAAGCTACCTCTTGCTGTATGTTAAAATTACCTGTCCTGGGGCTAGAGAGATGGCTCAGAGGTTAAGAGCACTGGCTGTTCTTGCAGAGGACCCGAGTTTAATTCCCAGCACCCACATAGCTGCTAAAAACCATCCTTAACTCCAATTCCAGAGGATCTGATGCCCTCTTCTGACCTCCATGGGCACTGCATGACAGGACTGTACCTACCTACATGCAAGCAATTCACTCAGACATATAAAAGTAATAAATAAAATATTTTAAAATTACCTGTCCTAAAAGCTATGAGGTGCCATATTGTCTTGGTTTCTTTTCCTTGATTGTTGATGCTTAGCCTACATCATTTTCTGTATCCATTGATCATTGCTGTGTCATCTTTTCAAAAAGGCTATCCCAATATTTTTCCCATTTTTAAATCCTTTCTGTTCCTTTTTGTTTTATTTTGCTGTTCTGTTGGATATTACCCTAATATTGACCATATCTTTTGCAGATATTTTCTCCCAGATGGAGGCTCAATCTGCATTTTTGTTGGTTGCTTTCATCGAGATACTTTTGAGTTTGGTGCTGTCTTGCACATTTACATT